CCCCAGACAGGATGTACCCGTTTCTCCTCGGTCGCTCTTCATGGGTTTTGGGTTTTGAACGGAAACGAGAGGCGTGTGTACTCCGTGCGTTGTGACACAGAAAGGATTGACAGATGCTCGTTCCAAACATCTGGTTTTACGCTACGTTGCCCCTTCACCCTGCGGCGCCCCTTACCCCCCTCCCCCCTTCTGTGTGTGTCCCCCGCCGCCGCCCGATACGGCGTGTGGTGCTATATGCATAGGTGTGCAACCTCATGTGGTCGAAGAATATCAACGAGATCGTCAGCACGCACGGCTACTCTCTGAACCAGATCATCGTCTGGAGGTACCCCAGCATGACGAAAGTCACCACGCTCACGGGACACACGATGAGGTAAAAACGGCGGCAGGAAGTAGGGATGGCATCAGCGTTATTCCAGGTAGATCCTCTCTTGTCTTGTACGAACTGGGGCAAACATTATTATTGCTACCAGTTTTCTCTCCTGTACTAAGTAAGGATCAATCGCGTCAGCATGTAATACCGTTGTACCATACATGATATTTTCAAGAAGTAACCACGGGATACCCTACGCACCGCTGGGTGGAATACATATTGACAGTCGAGGGAGATGGTTGGTTTGTTGAAAGTCCGTGCTCCGATTTTTCGATTTTTCCTCCTCCTATCTTGCATACAATTCATACAATGATACAATGATTGACGGCCCGTTCGAGATAATGCCCGTCCTTGCAGTATCGAAAAAAGTTGCGTCGATTCTCAATTAGTAATGCTCTTGTTGACAAAACATTTTTGTTACGTAAACTCGATTAATTATCCTTGTTGACAGACCATTTTTTGTTGCGTCAGTTCTCAGTTTCTTCTCCCTTGTTGACAAAACCTTTTTTTTGTTTCGTCAATCATCACTGCTCAATCACTTCTCCTCCTTGTTCGCGTTCGACTCTTGCTTTGGTAAAAATTCTGATTCTTGTCACAACTTTCCCCTTGTTGACCGGCCGACGCGCTTTCCAGGGTACTGTACCTGGCCATGTCTCCGGACGGACAGACGATAGTCACTGGGGCGGGAGACGAGACCCTAAGATTCTGGAACGCCTTCCCGGGACCCAAGAGCCGGGAGGGCTCCGGCTCCGCGGGACTGTTGTTTCCTGCGGGCGTGGGCATCCGATGACGTCAGCATGCTGACCTCCTCAGAACTGTTGTACCGTCTAGCGGTTCTCGAAGCTGCATGTGCCTCTGACTGGTGCAGTGGTTGGCATCAGCCATGCGTAGGTCATGGATCCCCAGATCCCGCTGCCGCTGTAACAAACGATTTTTGCGGCGAGTGACTGACCAGTCGTGGGTGTCTCTTTGTTTGGTCTCGCACTATGCACCTACTACCTATGTCTCTGGAGCGCGTGGTCCAATTTTATTTCAATTGTCGTCGTCCCATCTAGTCTGGACACACCAGCCTTGGAGTCACACAGGACGAAAGCCGCCACACTGCAGGAGTGCCTCACATTCATGTTGATACATACTCCGAACGTTTTAATGTGAAGACAACAACAACCACAACAACTTGTGTTCGAGAAAGGCAGGAGGGCGCAGGGGGGGGGTCGTAGCGTCTCCTTCCCCCGAATCCCCCGCTACGATTTCCAGGCGTGCGTCGGGGAGGTTTGCCCAAGAATCACGTCCCGTTTTTGTTTGTGGCGCACGCGCGAGGGGCATCGGAAGATGTACGTCGGTGTTTCGCTGCGCATGTCTGCGGAAAGGGGACTTAGTGACGCGGTTGAAGGGATGTGTAGTGAGAGAGCATTTTAGCGCGGAGCACGAAAAGGGTTCTGTAGAGTATTCATAGGCGTAGGGAATGACCTACTTTTTCCCGGCGGCGGTAGCTTTTTCTGTCCGCTGCGTCATGATTTATGAGTGTGCGTGTGCTGTTCTCAAGAATATTACACGGAGCATGTAGATGACGCTTTTGCTGTGTACTCGTAAAAGTGTGAGAAGAGAATGTCGGTTCGTTAAGGCTTCCACGAGAAAACGGGGGGGGCATCATGCCACCAACCACGGTCTGCCGCCGCGTTGTTGCTTTTGGTGCGTACATGATGATGGTCGGCACAGAGACGTTGCTTTGTTCTGTCGCCTATTGTATGCATATGTGTTTTTTTGTTTCGTGGTGTACAACTCCCGTCCCGGGGATATATGGATGGGTCCCGCGGGGGGGGTGCGCGTTGGACGTGGTGAAACCGTGCGTCCACTTCGGGGTTGCGCGACGAGCTGCGGTAGAGAGGGCAAACAAACGTGGTTGTGTTGTGTCGTGTTGTGTTGTGTGTCAGCTTGTGTGTGTCGTTGTCATGATCTTGGTCGCTTGTCAGGAAGGGAAGGGAAGCAAGAAAGAATAAAACAGTTTGCCCGCCGTGGTTATTACTCTGCGCACGCATATTAGTATGTTGTACCAGTACGAAACAAACTGCTTCGTCGCACGCTCGTCGTGCAGAAAGAAACAAGTGGCAGGAGAGTAGGCGTGCCTGTGTGACAACCACGTGCTCGTAGCCACCTACCTGTCTTGTATTGTTGGCTGACCAATCAGAAAAACATTTGTGGCACGCTGTTCGCTGATTGGTCAACGCACCTGCGGCGGAATTTCGAAAATTAAAAAAGATGAAGGCACGACGTAAGATCCGTGTTTGGCGGGTGGCGTCATCCACGGCGAAGTCGAGGATGGCACCTCAGGAAATCTTGGGAACACCGGGCCTTCTCCTGATGATCTTTCTGCAAGATCATCATCTTGGCTGACTACGAACGGGGATGGATGGAGCGATGGATCCGCCGGCCGACGGATGATCTCCGCGTGTGCTCTTTTGTGGGCATGGACCGGGGGATTTTTCTTCGGGTCGAGTCTGCGTAGACTACACAGGCCGGGCGGAGAATGTTGTTGTTTCTATGCTGCCTTTCGCCCATCATCCTCGCGTTCGTCGTCCTGTCAAAAGACAGTGTGTACTGGCACGCAGTTTGTATGAGAGAGACTTGAGGGTGATACGCACCAGGTCTCGATCCGCCGAGAGACTCAAAAAAACTGAGAAACGCCAGACGCGAGATTATTATTTTGAAAAAAATAATCCCAGCGGCTGGCTGATCCAGCCTTCGCTGACTGCTCGAACAGCAGCATCGACCCACTCACACAGAGTAGGCTGGACATTTTCGACCCACGCACCGCGCCTCTTCTTTTTTCTCTGTTTTCGGCGGCTGCTTCGAATCCAGCGGCGGCGCGGTGTTGTTTCCCGCTGCTACTACTACAATGACGTCGTGCACGACGGTTGATCTCGCAGCTGACGGTAGACAGAACACGTACAGAAGAGAAACGACGGGATCCACCATACATCCCCCCCCACAAACACCCACGGGCGGATCTTCGTCGTAACATTCAGAGACAGCAAAGACACCCCGCTTTGAGCCACCTCCTCCTCCAAAAAATTCCGTGAAACAATGGAAGCGAGTCTCCTTGCCCCCGCCGTCACAACCACCACAACAACGCAAGGATCTTTCGCCGTGGTTGATTGACGATTCGTCCACAACCGCCGAGGTTTTTTGTCGTCCTACTTTTAATGGTTCCCAGACAAGGGATTTTGACGCTGGCTCTTTTCTCATACTTTATAACAGTACAAAGAAAGAAAACAACCTTCCCGCCGGAGGAACCTGGTCCGTTGTGCTAGTATCATTAGTAGAGGATATCATCAAGAGGCGTCGTGCGTGCTGGCACGTTCAGGTATACTACTGGGGCTGAAATATCGAAGGTCGCAGCAGCCTCTGAAAACGGTCCGAAATCTGCGCCGGAACCAAGCGGAACCCAACACTTGTCACAGCGGTGCTCACCAACACGGACCGCAAACCCCTCAACTGCGGGTTGTCAGCAGTAGCTGGTGGCATCAGCTACTGCTGTAAACCTGCAGTTCAGAAGATTGGGTTCAGTGGCGGCGAGCACAAGCAGTACAAGACACTGGGTGTCGATCTAACTTGCGGAGATTTGCGGAGATCGTGGGCCACTACAACGACACTCGATACCACCACCACAGAAGAAGTTTTGAGCGCGCCAACACACCCCCCCGCTGCTATAGGGTGTCCTCTAGTGATATTGGTACAATGGACCAGGTTCCTAGCAACACCGGCCTTATTTGAGCGCCTTCCGTTTGGGCTCTTTTGACTTGAATTTAGACTGGTGTGGATTTTTANAAACAACAATGCTCCGACATTACAAAAAAAACAGGTGCTATTACGCCGCGCCACGGCTCGGCGGCCCGAGTATCGGTGGTGCTACGCCGAGCAGGTCGACCAGGCCGCTCCCCTGCCCGACAGGAGCAACGGCTGGCTCCCTGCCCGACAGGAGCAACGGCTGGCGCTACCTGGGCCCTCGAGAGGGTTAGACCTACAGGCGCCAGGCGGTCTTTGGGGCCGGGTTCCGCCTTCGCCTGCCGTTCCCCCGCCGGGGCACCGCTGGTTCAACTCGCACCCGCTCGGCGGGGATCCCGACCTTTTAGACTTCCAGGCCTGGGCGAGGACGATGCTACGCAGGCGCCTGGTGCACCCACGCGACGCCGACGCCTGGCGGGCGGCCGAGAAAGGGAATTATATGTGGCANTCCCTGCCCGACAGGAGCAACGGCTGGCGCTACCTGGGCCCTCGAGAGGGTTAGACCTACAGGCGCCAGGCGGTCTTTGGGGCCGGGTTCCGCCTTCGCCTGCCGTTCCCCCGCCGGGGCACCGCTGGTTCAACTCGCACCCGCTCGGCGGGGATCCCGACCTTTTAGACTTCCAGGCCTGGGCGAGGACGATGCTACGCAGGCGCCTGGTGCACCCACGCGACGCCGACGCCTGGCGGGCGGCCGAGAAAGGGAATTATATGTGGCACGCACTTACATAGCTGATTGGGAAAAAGCGACTGCGGCGGAATTAGTCTAATTCGAAAATTCAAAAAACAACAAACAACAGGCACGACCCAAGATACTTGTTTGGCGGGTGGCGTCATCCACGGTGAAATTGAGGATGGCACCTCAGGAGATCTTGGGAAAGTCGTGTCTTCTGATGATCATCTTTCTGCAAGCTCATCATCATCTCGGATGACTACGAAAGACAGAAAAACATTTGTGGCACGTAGTTCGCTGATTGGTCAACGCACCTGCGGCGGAATTTCGAACATTCAACCTCTCATTATTCCTCTCTTCACACATACTGTTTGCTCCGTTACTCCCATGCCCTGGTGCGTGGTGCCTGGTGCTGGTACGTTACCCTTTTATTTTTTCTTTGGGCGGGTGTGGGAAGCGTCCTCCTTTATTTTTGTTTTGTTTTATTTTGATCGGTGTCCGAGGGCTCTTTTCTCGAACGGTCGCTGCGATACCTGTTCTTTTCTTTCTTCTATCATTTTGTTTTCTTTTTCCGAGTGGTTTGTACCCTATTTTTGTTTTTTTTGTTTTCTCGCGGCGTCGAATGTGCCGGGTTTTGAGACCACGGGCTCCCCATTTTTTGTGGACTATAGAGCTAAATTATAACAACATACTTTTTCTTCGCTTTTTTTTGTCGTTTAGTCTTTTTCTCTCTTTTTTGTGCCAGATGGCCTTGTCTCTGCTTGCGTTGTGATGTACCAAGATTGAACCACAAGGGGGTGTATCTCATTCTCTCCGGCCCGTGATGGTGACCCTTGTCTCAGTTGTTACCTCGTATAAGCGCGCAGAGGGAATGGAGGACTCCAGAATATCTGTCGTTGATTTCTATTGATTGATTTTTTTTTTCACCACTTCGTCGATTTCGGCGCATCCATTCTCATCGGCAATCGATTCCGCTTGGCCGATTTAGGGGGGTAGAGCCACGCAGAAAGTTGATCAGACAAAAACTCTACGTGGGAACCGAGACTGTCAGTTTTGAGCAGCTGGAAGTCCATTGCAAATCAAATCTGGGACATTCCAGTAATATATTTGTGATCCCCACCCCAAAATTATCTCATGTAACCTGAAATTTTTATACGATTCGGAGGCGTTTGCATCTTGCTCGGGGGCCCGCAGACGCGATTTTCACCCAATTTTTGCCACTCATTCATCAAGAAGCCATCACGACATCCAAATGGGAAAATGAGTATATTTTCGTGATCCTCGTGACCCAACGGATGTTGGTACAAAATTTCAGAGGTTGGGACCCATTTGTTGCTGCTCATTGAACAACTCGAGAAAACTATTCGTCTTTAGCCCGGAACCCGCCCAATGGATGCAGGAACAAAGCTTAAGGTCAACTTCAGGACCGGGGACATGGGCCTTCGAGAACGACGACGAAGACATAGGACGGTAGACGACGAAGACGACGAGTTCAAATGTGATTGCGGCTACGAATGCGAAGACCGTGTTCACGAAGTCGCGGAAAGTCCGTGGTACAAGGAGAGGGAAGTGTACGTGACTGAGCTGGGAAAAATAGATGGGACGTACAGGGAGATGTTTGAGGCATGGAATAGAGAGGAAAGGACGGTAGCTGTACTGGAGCATAGGAAGTGGGTTGAAACGGCGGGAAGGGATATCGTTAGGATGGACAGACTAGGGAAGACATTTTTGAGCCACCTTTGGCAAAGTAGAAAGGAACGATTGGCCGTCGGTGATCGGTCCTGTGGGAACAATGCTCCGTTCTCTCGAGGACGCGTGGTCAATGGTCTAACCGCTAAGACATGCAAAACATAAGAGTATGCCCCCCCCCCTGCATGGCCAAACAGCCTGTAGCGTGGACGACAGCATCCAAGCCATCAATCGTGGATGGATCTCGTTGCCAGAAATATCTCCAGAATGGCAGCATCCGGAACTGGATTAAGCAAACACGCGTGGCCAAAACCACGCCAGCTGAGAAGATATCCATCAAATGTAAGCGATCAATCCCGTTTAACCAAGTCGGGAAAACTGCACACAAAAAAAGCAAAAGCTAATCCGCAGCAGCCCTACTGCTGCTGTCGCATACAAGAACCGAGCAGGGGCTGGTTGGAATCCTTTTGAAAATACTTGTGCGGCACTTTCGAGATGTCGAGATGATGCTCACATCAAGGGTCCCGAAAACAATCCAAAACGTGGGATCGCGAAAGAGCCGTCCCGACATGCCCCTAGTTTCCAGCAACTCAATACATACAGCACGACTACGCCTGCTTCGTGCTAACGAAGAAGCCGTCTTCCCTCCCCACTATACTATACTATATGTTACAGCCCTCTAAATAGCAAGACCACCGGCACATCTGAAACAGCAAAAACAAAACTAACGCAGCGGCGAGATGAGGCTACACAGAATTTAGGCGATAGTCGGGCTCGGGCTCGCCATCATCTCCGGAGACTTCACGCACAACGCACGAACGCCTCCTCGTATCTGTCCGTAATCGGTCGGGCTCGCCATCATCCGCGGAGATTTCGCGCACAACGAAC